ACAAGAAAAGACCCAAGATATCAAGCAAAGTCCAAGCATGAAGATAGGAACCATGCCGTGCGTAAGATCGCGAAGAAACGAGCTCGCAGAGATGACCGGACGCTGGACCGAACGCTGGACCGGTGGCTCGGCAGATAGGCGACCGGACGCAAGGACCGGACGCTGGCGGCAACCGACCGGACGCAGGCACGCAGCGTCCGATCGAGTACAGAGAGGTTCCAGGCGCGCGAAACTGCGATCGGACGCGTCCGGTGGCAGGCGACCGGACGCTGGCAGCGTCCGATCGGTAGTTCGCGGTTGCAACGGTCGGGAAGACCGGACGCGTCCGGTCAGGATGATTCAGCGTCCGGTCAGTAGCAGTTTTGCGGGAGTTCGACCCCAACGGCTACTTTCTTAGTGGGGCTTATAAATACAACCCTCAACCGGCCATTTGAGTAGTGTGGAGCTGAGGAAACATATCTAGGGTGTTGTTACACCATTTTAGTGATCTCCACTTGCTAAGTGCTTAGTGTTTCATCAGGTGATTAGCATAAGTGCTTTGCGAAGTGCTTAGGTTGATTAGACCACCGCTTATGCGCTTGCTCTAGGTGTTTGCCTAGTGTTTAGTGAGGTTTGCATACCTCTTGCCACCCCGTGCTTGCGAGCACAAGAGTTGTACATCGGAGGGGCTTGAAGTCTTGCGAGATCGCACCAACCGCGTTTGTGGTGCGGCCGCCACCGTGTACCAAAGGGAACAAGGCCCGCGGTGTTTCGGCCGAAAGCTTAATAGTGAAGACGGCGGGGAGCATCCGGGAGAGGCTTGCCGGAAGGCACATCGGAGACCCACTTGCGCGTGGGGAAGGCCCGAGGCTATCCACGGAGTTACCTGACCGGGAGCTTGGCCCTTGCGTGGGATTCCTTGCGAGGGGCTCCAACGAGGACTAGGGGGAAGCTTGCGCGCTTCTCGATACCTCGGTAAAAATACCGGAGTCGTCGACGGGAGTTTGCATATCTCTACCTTGCTCTTTAAGCTTCCGCATTTACCTTGATCATATTATTATCATCTGCGGTAGAGATAGCAACACACTAGCAAAACCGTAGTTGCACTTCTAGATAGATTATCTTTTGCATAGGTTTTGCTAGAGTTAGAAAAAGAGGCCATAGTTTGGAGTTAGATTTTTAAGTTGCCTAATTCACCCCCCCCCCTCTTAGGCGTCCACGTGTCCTACATAGAGGTGGAGCTCGGGCTTGGGCTAGTTGCTGAGCACCCTTAAGCCTTGGTGGCTTATGTAGGTGTGCTTGGATGCCTTCTAACTCACTTGTGCTTACAAGAGTGCGATTGGATTGTGAGTGAGTATGATTCTAGTGCGTTGTATCGTGTGGTTGCATCGAGTGGCACTAGGTGTTCGAGTGGCAAGCCGGTGGTGCTTGTTACTCTTGGAGTTTGCCACCTCCTAGACGACTTGGTGGCGTAATCTCTGTCGAAGCCCGCGAGAAGATTGTGCGGTGCTCCGGAGAAGTGATCGTGAGGGGTATTGTGCTCGCCCCGCGGGAGCCGTGAAGAGCAACTTTAGTAGAGCGTGTCATTGAGCTACCCTCACTTTTGGGGTATGTTCTTATGGTGCCCGACGTGCGGGCTTCGCGGGTGATGCCAATTAGCCGCCGAACCACCAAGTGAGCGGTCGACACAACAGGGACGTAGCTTGGTGGCAACCAAGTGAACCTCGAGAGAAAATCATCGTGTCAACATTGTCTTCATCATCTTCTCGGTGGTTTGCATTCCGCGCAACACAAGCTTGTATTTACATTTCATACATTGTGCTTGTGTAGTTGCTCTTGTGACTAGTTTTGCTTTAGTAGCTTGCTAGTTGTCTTCTTGCTTGTGTAGCATAGAAGTAGCTCGCTTGCGTGGCTAATTTGGTTTTAGTAACCTTGTTAGTCACATTGCTTAGTTTATGTAGTTAAGTAATTTGCGCTCTCTAATTTGGCTTATGTTGTCTTGTTATTGAGCATTGCTAGTGAGCTTAGGTGGCTTTGTGCTTTTACTTACTAGATTGTGTAGGTGCTCTCCGGTTTGCTTGAATTACTAGTTGCATAGGTTTATATGACCTTGCAAGCTAGAATTGGATAGATGAGCACTAGCTAGCCTGGCACATTTGTTGTCTCTTTAGGATCTTTTATAAGGTGTCTGTGAACTTAGATAAAGGGGTGTAGTCTTGGCTAGACCGATAGTTTTAATTCCGCATTTGTTTCGGTTAGCCGACGCGATTAAGTTTTAGAAAGAACTATTCACCCCCCTCTAGTCCACCATCTCGACTCTACACTCGGGCATTCCCGGCGCGGCCGCGGGGTGCATGGGCGCGGCGGCCCAGACCTCCCCTGAGCGTGCGGGGGGCCAACGACCCTGGCGTGGGAGTGAGTGCAGTCGTGGCGACCGCGGTGCGGGCAGAGGAGGCGGGGAGGGGGAGGGGCAGGCGTGGCGCCCTGGCCCGAGCCACCGTGACACGTGCGGAGGGCCCAGCCACCTCAGCTCGGGCGGGACCCGGCGTCCCCGGCGACTCCGGCGCGGAGGACGCGAGCAACCGGAGGAGTGGAGTATTCGCGAAGCGCCAGGAGAGACGAGCTGGACGGACGGGATCAACGGTTAGATCAACATCGGTGAGGGAATCGGACGACTGATAAAAAACAGGCGACGTGACCCAATGATTTGCACGAGCTTGGCTGTAGTTTCGGCGCGGGAATTGGACAGCTGATAAAAAAAACAGGCGACGTGGCCCAATGATTTGCACGAGCTTGGCTGCAGTTTAGAAAGAAAGAGATGCGCGCGCCCTAGTGCTGGTGTCCCAGTTCACCATTGGGCCTGCATTGCTTACCTTCCTATTCCCGTATTAAAATTCAATGTACAAATTGTTCGTTGGTGCATACTTTTCATGGTAGCTGACCCATTCATCGCGTGACAGGGCTTTGCATGGTCCTCCGTAGCTGATTTTTTGCATAGTTCGCCTGCACTCTGCTGACTGAAGTACGGTGGACGGTTTGCCTCTATGAATGAGATTGTTTTCCAGGTGAGGAGTAACTGTTGGTCCATATAACAAGAAAAAAAAATCGGAGTTTTGAGGAATTGCCTACGCTCTAAAGTCTAGAAAGGAAATGACTGCAAAGTTTCTCAAAATCTACATCCAAAAGCTTGTCAGGAACTTACCTTTACACCACAAACAATTGCTGGGTTTCATGAGAACATGGTTTTGCCGAGAAACAAATCAGAGCATGTGATCAGACAATACGCACATGCTTAACCACCTACAGGCTACAGCTATTGGTCTCTTGAGTATTGAGATTAATGAGCAAATGTATGGTCTCAGTTTTTGAAGATGCAATTCCTAGTAAGGTTAGTGGAACAACTTTATCCTGCAAAGTTGCATCAACATCACTGGTATAAAGAAACAAGAGAAAGAATCCTTAAGATGGTATTCCCAAAATGTTTTAAGACACCAAAAATATGCCAATAAACTTTGTCGGTACTCCATGTCAGAAAATAACCATGACACATGAATTTTACACTTATCGAAGTGTGAGATGAGATTCCAGTTTCGATCTTTTTCAATCATTCCACATGCACGAAAGGAAGATTCTGCCTTTTGGCAACACGGAAAGAGAGAGGGGAAAATATTCCACATGCACAAAGGTTGAGGAAAAACAAAGCTGTGCCTTCAATAATGCTTGATTTGGCACCATCAGTCACCAGCGCTACCGGCTCCTGCACTACAGGATGTCTTCGTATTGTGTTTCTTGATAAAGACTTGTTTCACTAGAGTTGAGGGGCAAGGGAAAGGTTGTAAATATCCTCTGGCAGCCCAATTTTATTGGAGAAAGCCCAACCTGAGGCTCATACCCCTCTTTACTTTGTTTCAGCAAAAGCAAACCACCAGAAATCACAAGAAATATCCCTTTTGGATTTCTTTTCTGAATGTGAGATCAATGCCTAATCCACAAGGTTCTTTAAGAAAAGCCCTAAACTTTGTTGTAGCTCTAACAATTAAGGATTTTGAGTTCAAAAAAAAACAATTAAGGATATTGTTCTCCTTGTTCAAACTGAATTGGTACTCGCTACTTATTTTATATTATTCTAGAGCAGTGTTATCAGAAAGTGATAGTAACATTTTTCTGAGAAAATAAATATCAGAAAGTAGTAGTAATATTTTTTGTATTTGCAAAAAAAATGTACCGGCTATAAGAACACTAGTGGGTGATTAGGTCCCTAAGGAATATAAAACATAAAAGCAGGAAATGAAAGAGTCTGGTAGCAATTAAACCTAAACCCCTTCACTGCCCTCCATGTCAAAAGTGTTTTATTTTTGGCAAAGAAAGTTGGTTCTAGTAAGACCTGAACCACATAGCAATAGCATGCCCCCAGCGATATTTCGCTGTCTTGATGCATTGCAACAATGTGGCATCTATCGGATACCACTACTCAAGATTCAGGTCAGCTAAGGAATATAAATACTACTAGTAAGGAAGATTCATTTAACAATGTCCCTAATAAGGAATATAAAACAGAAAAGAAGGAAACAGAATAGTTTGGTTGCATGCCTGTGCCCCACAATCAAACATTCAAACCTAAATCCCTTTATTGGCCTCCATCTCAAAAGAATATGTTACCAAATGAGAAGGTTGCTCCAAATAAGATCTGAACTACATAGAGCGCACCCCCCCCCTGATGACATTGTTTATGTGTTGATGTCTTGGTGCATTGCAACAATGTGCCATCTCTTAGTACCACTATTTTCAAGATTCAGGTCAGCTCTGACAAACATCCATCACATCATTACGTGGAGTTTGTGGTCTAGGAAGTTGGAATAGACCCCCACTGTGACTCTAAAGCATAACTACCACAAAAGGCACAAGATGTTGAACATATCTAAACATGTAAATATGACCATATATAGATCATGCGTCTTAAAATTCAGGAAAAAATATGTAACAAGGGCTGTGAAAAAGAGAAATACTACACAGGAAACTTATCAGCAGTCCGCACTGGCCTCAGAGTTTTCGTCAACGGCAGCTATTACCAATTGAGGCTCAGTGGCTCCCTCCGCTCTTGCCTTCTTCCGTTCACGCCGCATGCGGAAGTACTCTCTCTTCCTTGCTCTGTAACTGTTTGGGTTTTCAGGCTCTTTCTCATATGGGTAAACACTTACCTATAAAACAAAAGGTAGTCAGTGAGCATGTATCTGGTATGCCACCAGATTTCACTCAGATGCAGTCATGCAGGCAAAAGCATAATTCAGTAACTAATAACTAAGATACAACTACCTTTTTCTTGTCCGGACCATACTTCTCAAACTTGACTAGTCCATCAATCAAAGAGAAGAGTGTATGATCCTTGCCCATTCCAACGTTATTTCCAGGATAGACCTGAAATGTCCAAAAGAATTTTTTTAAAGAAAAACTTAAAAATGGCAAGGAACAGACAGACAATAGAATGGGGACCAAAATGAACTCTATACAAAGGACACAATGGTATACACCATATAGTAACCGTAATATACAAATGTCTTGAATATTGTAGGCACGGCGGTAAGTAAGACTCTAAAAGATGGACCTACTAAACCATAAGACATGTTAGCCTTATTAGTTCATGAATTTTCTTTTACAAGGCACACACATTTGACCATCTTACATTATGCCTAGTATTGAGCAGCTATGTCTGATCATGTGTGCAGAGTAAGTTCATCACCAGTTGGCTCTACAGTGCATTGAGGTTAGTAGGTTACATTGCTAGCAATTCTGAAACACCTGGGAAGTGCGGTTAAACACATTCCCCTGCCGTTATCTGAGAAATGCAAGAAACTGTAATTTTTCCTGCATTTGCAGAGTGTTAGATTAGAATTGGGAAATGCAGTAATGCACAATAGCAGCATCCATTCCAACGTGTGAAGTGGCGCCACAAGCATTCTGGGTACATTGCATGGGCGGACCCAGGGCCCGGCGACCCTGGGCGCCTGCCCGGGCTCCGTCGGGGGCTGGACTGCATGTGCATCTGCTCTGTTGGAACTTGGAAGCTGCACTGTGCGGCATAGGCAACTTATAGTCTAGGTGCAATGATCAATGCTGAGAGCCTGAGACATCAATCCTATCAGCTTTTTGGCCCACAATATGTACAGCTCACTGTGTATTGAAAATTAGGACTAAGAAGGTAATGTAATATAATTGGCTTTTGCTCATGATTTTTGCTTAACTGTTAAACTTGGCTGATCAATTCTTCAGTGTCCTAATAGTTAGCTATTTTAGCAGCTGCCTCATATACGTAAGTTGACATATGTTTTCAGCCCAAACATATTGTTGTATTTTTGTGGCAAATCCCCAATTTTGTATCGAGACAATTGTTGTGATATCTTCTTGGTCTTAGTGTATGCATATTCGCATGTATATGGTGATCTTAGTTCATAACTATTAAGTTGTTGACTTCGCTTATGTTAATGATCGATATGTCTTATTATCAGTTGTGAAGGGGGATGAGATCCGACATCGATGGCAAGAGTATTTTGACAAATTGTTCAATGGTGAGAATACGGACACAACCGAAAAGTTGGATGACTCTTTTGATGACACCAATAAGCGCTTTGTGCGGAGAATCCAAGAATCTAAGGTCAGAGAGGCGTTGAAAAGGATGAAAGGAGGTAAGACGATGGGACCGAATGGTATCCCAATCGAGGTGTGGAGATGCCTTGGGGACATAGCTATAGTATGGCTAACCAAGTTGTTTAACCATATTTTTCGATCGAACAAGATGCCTGACGAGTGGAGGAGAAGTATATTGGTACCGATCTACAAGAATAAAGAGGATATTCAAAGTTGTACTAATTACCGGGGAATTAAGTTAATGAGCCATACTATGAAGCTATGGGAGAGAGTTATCGAGCATCACTTGAGAGCAATAACACGGGTCTCTATGAACCAATTTGGTTTCATGCCCGGAAGGTCAACCATGGAAGTTATTTTCTTAATAAGACAAGTTATGAAGCGGTATAGGGAGAAGAAGAAGGACCTACATATGGTTTTTATTGACTTGGAGAAGGCTTATGATAAAATACCAATGAATGTTATATGGTGGGATTTGGACAAACATAAAGTCCCAACAAAGTACGTCGGGCTCATTAAGGACATGTACAACAATGTTGTGACTAGTGTTCGAACAAGTGATGAAGACACGGATGACTTCCCGATGTGAAGAGAGGCAGAGGAAGACCGAAGTTGACTTGGGTAGAGGCAATAAAAGGAGACTTGAAAGGATAGAATATACCTAAAGACTTAGCCTTACATAGGAGTGCTTGGAAAACAGCTATTCACGTGCCTGAACCTTAATTGTTTTTGCTGGGTTTTAACTCTAGACTACCACAACTTGTTTGGGACTTAAAAGGTTAAAAGGTTGTTGTTGTTGTAGTAGGCTCTCGACAATTTCTGGGTCCGCCACTGGTACTGTGGTACATTGTAAGATTATAACACCCGCAAGCCGTCATCCTTATGTAGGTTCCAGTTCCAGTAGGTGGTTAATTGAATTATTTTTTAAAAAAAAAAAGGGGAACAGCCTGTCTAATATGCTTAACCTGCAGCAGCAGTTGAGCAGCAATCAAACGCTAGGCAGAGAAAGCTATGTTATCCAGCAGAGGCAGTCAACAAGCTTGTATGGACGCAAGGAAGAGCCTAGGTTGTGTTATTAATCCAAATAGTAAAGCGAACCAGTAACGGGGAAGGGAAGCGAAGGGAGCAAGAGAGGAGGGCAGGACCCTTGTGCCGCGCTGCCGGATGATGATGGCCCCGGGCTTGGCGACCTGGTCGCCGTATATCTTGACCCCGAGGCGCTGTCCCTTGGAGTCGCGGCCGTTCTTGGTGCTCCCGGCCCCCTTCTTGTGCGCCATCTGGATGGTGAGCCGCCGCGCCGGCACCGGCACGCCCACGGCGCCGCCGACGGAGAGCGAGGCGCGGTCGCCGCGCAGGAAGGTGGTGGTGGTGGGCGCCAGGGAGAGGCCCTTGAAGGCCCCCGCCAGGGCGAACGCCATGGAGGCCATACGCGGAGGAAGCTGTGGGGAGGCAACGGCAGTTTGGGAAGGAGGGGGAAGAGAAAAGATGAGGCAGTGAGGTGAGGTGAGGTGAGGTGATAACGAAGGAGTGGAGAGGGGGAGGCGGGAGGCGTGGGCTCGTGGTCGGCCCAATGTTTTACGTCCTGGGATTTGGGCCTTACTTACAGATGGGCCTTGTGATGCTTGCAGTGACTGGATGAATTGAAAGAAGGGAAATGCTGTTGCTTCTGGCCCATTTTGGTCCATGTAGTCTTGTAGTGTTATTAGGCAAGGCAACACAGGAAAAATGGTGGTGGTGTTTCTCAAAAAAAAAAAATGGAAAGGAAAAATGGTGGTGGTATCAGGAAGGATTCAGTGAAGTATCGTCTTCTTCCTCCCTTTGCAGTTGCAGAAAGACAGACAGAGCTGAAGGGCCACAGCGTCGGCATGTGGGATGGCCGGGCAAGCTAGCTAGAGTGACAGACAGGCTAAACACCGTGGGAGCAGGAGCAAGAGCAAGAGCAGGCAATATAGAGCATGATGACGGGCTTGACCGGCAAAGGCAAAGCTGGAGATGGAGGAGAGGACCTATTCCTTGCATGGACACACGGCATGATTGGGATCCTTGACCAAAGCGCGGCATTTAGGGTCCAAGTTAATCATGGCCCAAACCACACACACAGACCCCACCACTACCCACTAATCTCCCATGCCTGCTGTGCTGCCCGGGGCTTCTTCCCCTAATACTGTTTGCTTCTCGATCGATCGATTGGCAGTCACTGGCATTCGGATCTGATCTCATGACTCCTTGTTTTCAGACGCTCTGCTCACTCACTGCAGTTCACTCTTCCGTGTGCTCGTTTGATTTCCCTATGGATATTTTGAACGAGGAAGGGAGCCGGAAGTTTCAGAAGGCAGCGCACGGCGGCATCAGTGATCGCCATCGTGGAGATCTCTCGCGGAGCCGCGCAGTACACACCGCGGTGGCGTCGCGTCAGTCGAATCCGCCAATCGCGTCCGCCCACCTGTTGCGTCGGCGGTCGTGCCGGGCCGTCGTCCGTCGTATCAGCTTTGCGGGTACACCCGACCGACGCTGCCTGTTGTTGACGGCGGTGCTTGCTGCCGACGGTGGGTCGCACGCCCACAGCTCCTTCTACTACTAGCAGTCACCGCATGCACCATCAGCACGGGAGACATTGACCGGAGGGACGAGGGCGATGCGACGCCGGCGATCATTGCCTTGTCTGACGATTCGCCGGCGACACCCGACCCGACCGACACAATCCGGCGGGCCTCAGCCCTCAGGTCCTTGCTGGGCCACGCGGTCGCCACCGACGCGTCTCGCTACGCTCGGTAACTCTTCCGCGGCTGAGGGAGCACTTATTTTTTAACTGTTGTTTGTAAGAAATTTTTTGCCTGCGATCGTAAAACTTACATGTTGAGCTTGGGCAAGACAAGAGTTAAAGAACTGTTGGTGCAAAAGAAAAGAAAAGATACTGCCAGTACGTAATCGATCGATCTTGCACTGCACGGTGAATAATCTGGAGCAGTGACCGTCAAGATTCAAAAGGCAATCAAAGGACGTGGTAGGAAAAGGGGAATGATGCTGCCCGGGTCTAGACGAGAATGATGGGGAATCAGATAAACCGAAGCCGTGACTGTAAAAAAAACTAAGGTTTTGAGGCCTTTATTTGGTCTCACAGCGACATTAGTCGCCGGGCATGATGGTCGATTTGATCCTTTTCCCTCCCCGCTCTCCCATCTTAACCACTCAGGTTTGATACTTCTTCTGGAACTGCCGTTTCAGCCTCCGGGGGCTTCGTGTGTCGGCATGGTGCGTCAGTTAGCGTCCAAAACACGTCGCCTCGTTCGGTTGTACGCGAAAATACTGTTGCTTCGTCCAATCCAAATTATATAGTTTATTTTATTCTAACTTTGTCTAAGTTAAAGTTTCAAGTTTTGATCATGGTTTTTAAAAAAAAAAACATCTACTAACTTCTATTTTGAATAAATGCGATTATTTTTCACCACCACAAGCTGAACTTGGCCTTTGTGTGTATAAGCTCGCGAGATCCCTAGATTAGATACATCGGGTGTTTGCCCCAGGTGCCACGAAATCGCTAGCTGAGACTATGGTCCAACAACAACCTTCAAAGATACAAGATCTATTCGATGTTTGATAGCGCTACAGGCAAAGAGTTCAATACACATTCAGCATTTTCTTCAATAACAGAATCCAAAAGAGAATCATTTCTGCAAATAGGTTTTCAGAAGAGAAAATGCTCATATTTAGGTTGTGCCTCTCAGGAAACCCAAAATAGGTCTACCGTATAGGTGCTCATACAGGGTACTTGTTAGAGATAGTCTGACATGGCAACGGAATCTGTCACCACAAGCGAGTAAAGAAAGAGAGAAAAGAAGGGGATGCGCTAGCAATGAACGCCGGGTTGGTTCGGCTTATAAGCCATGACTGAAACTACTGTTGGCTGGTTTGATGTGAGAGAAAAATACTGTTCGTTGACTGATAAATCATGGCTTATAAGCCAAATACGACAAAGCGAACAGGCTAAAAGATGGAGCCCCATGTCACGGACGGTTGGTTTCTCGATGGACGTGCGAGTCTACTGCGTATACCAAGGTTAACAAGTTTCTTTTTTTTTATCTTCTCTCATCCAAGTGGATTAAAATAGGGCCTGTTCATTTGAACTTATCCGCCGACTTATCAGCTAAAATTTATAGTATTTTTCTCTCACAATAAATCAGCTTCAGTCGGCTATACCAGCCGAACAGGCCCTCTAACTATTCGAAGGCTTGTTGGGTGCACCAGAAAAGAAAAGAAAAAAACATTCATGCTTTGACCACGCACACACGTGGAGGTAGCTAGGAGTGTTTACTTGGGCTTGTTTGGCTGATAAGTTATGACTGAAAGTAATGTTGGCTGATTTGGTGTGTGAGAAAAATATTGTTCGTTGGCTGAAAAAATACGGCTTATAAGTAAGGCTGAGCAAAAATAACCGAGAACCGAGAATCGAACCGAAAGAACCGAAATCGAAACCGAAAGAACCAGAACCAAAAATTTTGGTTAGCTGTTCGGTTCTCAGTTCTTAGGAACCGAATTAACTGATTAAATTTTGGTTACTGGGCTCGGTTAACTGAAATAACCGAAGGAACCAAAATTCACAAATAAGTCCAATAAACCTTACAACCTAGGCCTTACACCAACTTAACCCTAGATATAAAAGGTGAATGACACCCCCTCACAGCATCACACCCTCACATTTTTTTAAATCTCGGCATTGTGCTTTTTTAAAAATCTTTTTTCCTATTTTTCCTATTCTTTTTTTTGCTGCTTGTGTAAATCCTCGGTTAGTTCGGTCGCAACCGGAACCGAACCGAACTAACCGAAACCGATTTTGCTCGGTTTTAAGATTTGCGAAGAACCGATCGATTCCTATTTGTAGAGAACCGAATTTGTGTCATAAACCGAAGAACCGAACCGAAACCGATCGGTTAACCGAACGCCCAGACCGACTTATAAGCCGAACAAACCTAAAACGATCAGGGTGCTGAATTAGGAAACAGTAGCAGTAGTTGGCTGCAGTTGCAGAGGATCCTGCCTGCGTTGGATTGGCCGGATCACGCATCTGGTTTTGTGAAGCCACGGGGTACAACAGGTACTCTCTACACTACTCCAGCAGCGATTCTATAACCACCAAATTGTTGTAAAAAAAACCCACCAAATCCAAATGCTGGCTGTGCACAAAGTGCGGTTTTGTGTCCATATGACAAAATTACCTATCGAGACCACAGCACCACCATGGAGTGCGAGATTGGTTGGGTTTAGAGAGAGTACTAGTAGTAGGCTAGTAGCGGAGGATGCAGTGGAGTACTTTTGTTGGCATGGCTATCATGATGATTCCTCATCATATCTGATCGATACATGGCTACCTAGAACTACAAGGAGAATGGGTTGCAACAACCACTGCAGCTGCGTGCGTGCATTGCTTTGCCTCATGACGACTCTAGCCTTGTGTTTTCGTGGTTGGTTTCGCCCAACCCAACTTTTTTCTGACCGGACTCAACCCACCGCCGATTAGGAAGCTAGAGAAACCAGAAGACTACGCAGGCATAGTGTAGAAGAGCTTCGATATATGTTTGGTGGAACACGTGAATGTAAAGAAAAGGGGAACGGAGGGGGGGTGTAAGGTGTTGCTATACTCTAGCTGGATGTTTTTTTTCTTTTTTTCGGGAATGGATGTTTTTTCTAAGATTTTAGTCGTGAATTAGACGTGTTCGATCACAGACAATCAGACAGGGAGCGGTCATCATCTACCTCTCGTGTTTTCTTCTTTCTTGACTCAAGACACACAATGAATTATTTGTCCTATATAGCATGCCAACGATCCTTGCTCCCCTGTGTCTTGCCTTATTGCACCCGTCACACTGCCGTCGCCCACCACTCCCATGTTCACCTATGTCACCGTCACTCTTGCCATAACTCTCTTTCATCTGGATATCTTTTATCACCTATAGCCAGTGGTGTTCCCGGGTGACTTAAACAATTACGATGACTTGAAACCATTTAAAAGTAGTCTAAAATAATCCTCAAAAATCAAATACATGAAAAATGAACTTACCTATTTTGCTCGGGTGTAAAATCATCATCTCGTCCCCCACTTAAACCATTAGTGGATAAATATGACGGAAGAGCCATATAATGAAGTAAAGTTGGATTTCAGGCTAAGTAGGTAACTTCGAATCTAAAAGGCCTAAGGAAATAAGCCTAAGTTTTTAGGGCCAAGGAAGGGTTTTTCTCTTCTTCTTTCTCGAGTCAAAATAGTTAATTAACTCTTCACTGTCTATAGTATGTATAGCATGCCAACAAAACTTGCTCTCCTACCCAGCATTCCAGTACCCATCACGCCATCGTCAGTCACCCTTCACATGTGGATGTTCTCCACCGATCATGTCCAATGGCATTCCTACCTACCCATGCAATG